CCAGCTTGTCATTTGACAACCTCGTGCCGGGCCCTGTTCTTGAGAGATCATTGAGCAATGTCTGGATGTGAACAACAGTCTAAGAAAGATTTTTAAATTCAACACATGCAAGTAACTGCCACCAAAGACTACGAAAGGCAATGAAGAACGTAATGCATGCTCTTTTGTTGTCCTCGTTTTCTAATCCTTCAGTACTGCAAAAATACTGAGCACGGTGATATTTGTGGAAAACATTACGTATTACTGGCTAGCAAACCCAAGTCCGCCGTCAAGCTCTGTCGATAATATTTTCGTAATCAGCATGCTCAATTACTCTCTTGTGCCAACTAGCCCTGTAGCTCAGATTCGCATATAATCGATAAAATCGTTATTGACTGATAACGAAAAGTAGCCTATGACACTAATCCCGCGCCATAGTGTATGTGTGCAAAGTTTGCTACGAATCGCTTCAGAAATGAATTCTCGCTTAAGTCAAGAAATAAAGTCTATTTGGAACGTACGAACATACATACATACAGACAATTAGCTTTATACATAGTGTCCCAAAAAATTGCCTACTGTTTGATTGTTAATTACTCTCTTGTGATTAAGCCTTTCGAGAATCTTTAGGTACCGCTTTGTAGAGCTGGCTTCAACTTAAATTTACAGTACGGAGCAACTATGGATCCCTCTACATTACTGTAAGAATAGAAACTCGCAACATATGGCGAAATAGGCCATTCAGAAAAAATTTTCAAAAAAAAGAACACCTGAAAAATTGCGAAACGAGGTTTTTATGCGTGCGATTTCACTACATAACTTTTCGCGCGCTTGCATAGCTTTTAAATGGCGTAACCAAATTTTTGACGAATATCAAAAATCGATTGTCATGTTCTGTCTGACATAACTCAGGAGAAAAGCTTTAGAGTGAAGGGCGAGTTTCAAGTTGAACCAGGAACTCCGATTTACTTAGTGTAGGAGTTTTCAGTTTCTTCCTTCCTTTTTAAGGGTTACGACTCTCAAGGACGCAAAACCTCCTCAAAGTCCCTACAGTAATCCTACAGTAATGAAGAGAGAATGCGCTTCATACTGCAAATCTAAATTGAAGCCAGCTCTACAAAAGGGTACCTAAAGCTTGTCAAATGGTAACAAGGGAGTTATTGACGACCAAATAGTAGGTGCATTTTTTGGGACACTCTTTATATGAGATAAACATGATCCATGTCACTTGCTTCAGTTGAATCACTTCCCCGTACTTCAGATAGATGACAGGTGACCCAATAGCATAATCAAATACATAGTGTTCGTATATGTATGAAAGCCCTGATTGATAAGCTATTTCCTCGATTTCGACGGGAAGATTGCATTTGTAGAATGATCGTTAGTATTAGCTTTACCGAATAAGGCGAACACTGCTTTGCGTATGTGCTTATTGAAGCGTAAGTAGACGATACCGTGAACACCTACAAATAATCAATGAGCCAACTCTCTTGCGTAAATAGATACTGAAGCAGCACTTACCATGACTGAGCTGCCAGACTACGTGCGCTGCAATAACCACAGTTCTTGGAACAGCTAATAATTCTAATAATACGTAAAGAATTGCGGTGGTCCCCGTAGACGTACAAACAAAGAAAACTTGGATAAAAATCTGAAAAGTCTATTTTGTCCCATCTTTAGTATTGTGAATTCAGTAAAATTCTAAACCCTTTCAGGGTTTACAAAAATTACTGTTTAGAGCAAATCAAATCTTTTTGAACTGTTACACTTTTGACTGCTTACCGGCATATCGTCAATATTTCCCCCTCTACGTAAGGCGTATCTGACATAGTAATAGAGAATAGAATAGAGCGTTACTAACGCTATAACTACAGTAGAGTTGTGGATTACCAAGTAAAATGAGGTATAATGATAGTACTCCTTGAAAAAAAGTTCACTAAGAGTGCTAAATTTTGCAGCTGTATATCCTTCTCACAAAATAAACTTACAGTTTCATAATCGACAATCAGGGGAGTTCCGATGAATGCGGAAACAACTGTGTTGAAAGTAATAGGTCTTAGAACAAACCATACAATAAGCATATACAAAAAAGATAGAAGCATCCATATATACAAGAGTTTTCCTTAAAAAAAAGGTAAAAAAGCTATACGACCGTGGGATTGAAGTTATACCCCGAAAAAGAAATTTCAAGACATTAGCTGCTGGTACCATTTCCACAAATCTATCGAATGCAAGTACCATACAATTGAAAGATGCTCCCATCCACAAGCCTGAAATTTCAATTACATATCGCTTTTACCGCAACATCCTTGTTGAACTCACTGTAGACGAGATGCCCAGACATCCAATTTAAAGTTTTAGAGGAGCAAAAGACTGCACCAGTCTAAACTGGATGCCTTTAAGCCCTTATGCCATTGTGAAAAAAAACTTACAAAATGAAAATATGGATTGATATATGAACATAAAATCAGGTCACCAATATCGACAAACCCGTTGTAAAACATAAGTTTGTAACATGGTATTTTCAGGAGCTTCCCGCGGTACATACCAATCATGCATAATGCGTAAAGAATCTATAACACAGTAGTGAAGAGATTTGAGCATGAAAGGTTGTCGAGCCATGATTGAAAAGTTTTTGTTTAACCACAGTACTCATTAGTCATGTCTGCAACACATTACGTTTACCCTGGTCTAGATTGAAATAAAATAACTCTCCTTATTCTTTCAAAAATGTATACGCTGGCAAAAAATGTGGTATAACCTAACGATGCCAAAAAATCTCAAAATACAGTCGATGCGTTCACACAAATCAAGAATTATATAGAGTGTGAAAAAAGGTACAGATACATCAACACTTGATTACGCTATGATTTAGATACATTTTTCACATACACAAATATTTTCATTCAACTGACATTTTGGACAGAAATGCGCTGTAGTGCAACTTCATGCAATTATGAATTGCTGACTAGTTCTAGATCTTTTTTTT